AGGATGGTCCTTGGGCAACGTGAGGTAAAATGTTGTATCACCACTTAGTTTCATAAGCGGTGGTTGTTGGTTAGAGAAACTCCCACAGCAGAAATTGCATGGTCCCTCGAGGGGTTCTGTTTGGTATGGGTGGGGGTATGGGACTTCATTCATGCATTGCACAAGGAAGGTAGAACTAGTATACTGTTACTGATATCCCTCGAGTAGGAATCTACTGATATGAATATTTAACTCATTCACGAGGAGTTCACTGTTATTGGTTACTTCTTAAAGAGAAGGCCACACTGATTACATGATTCATCCTTGGAAACCTCCCAGCTATAAGATTTGATATGAAAGTGTTTTCTGAGTTTACTACTAAGATTTGATATAAAAGTGTTTTTCTGAGTTTACTACTAAGTGTTTACATTGATTTATCTTACATGAGGCAAATAAGATTGAATAATTTTTACTTTAACTTTTATCAAAAAAAAGATTGAATATTGTTACCGTTTCTGAAAAAGGCGTTGATTTTAGCAATTTGACTATCATACTAGCATGTTTTCTGACTTGTCCCTCATTACAACGGTTGCGGTTAAGTGTTATTACTCACTGAGCTAGCGTCTCACTCCTCGCTTTATTTTACAGAGAATGCAGGTCACAGGGGTAATGATTTCTTTAACTAGAGCTTTCGAGTTGATAATTCGAGGTGAGACCCGCACTTGTTCGCGTGGACAAAAAATATTTTTTACTATAGTAAAAATAAAAGATAATCTCAAAAATATTTTTCATTCATAAATCAAACACTAAAAATCTTTTTCGGAAAATATTTTCTAATCATCAACCAAACATGAGAAAATAAGTCAACTTTGCCCTTATTGATTTCTGATACAGGTAATTTCAGGATAGGCCCAAAAACAGAGGAAACTTTGCCCGATTTTCTGTAGATTTCTGGTTAAGGCTTGCTTTGGGATTCTTTCCCTTAGTGCCGGTCACAGACCTAATTTGGGTCGTGACATTAATAATCTGTCTAATAATATTTTTCTCCTGTCCCGACTTGGGCTAATGGAAAAAATTACTTATTTTGATAAAACTAATAAGATTTTTTGTGAGAGTAGCTGAAGTAGAATCAATAGAGACCCCGAGAGCTCTGATTAAGCATATTCATACCTTTAGACATATTTTTGTTAGACAGGTTGAAGTAAGAGATTGAAGAATTAGTTTGGTTGAAAGGCAAACAACAAAAAGACAAATCAAAATAGCTAGATCTAGAATTCCAAGATTACTAAAATACAATTCATTGACTTCACAACTCCTTTAAATACCGAAAGTGCTCACTTTTTAACAAATCTAAATGGATGAAAACTACTCAGAAGAACTTTTAAGAGAAAATTTCAAGCCTACTCCAAACGTAAAGGGATCGTTTTTATCATTTTCTTGACTACCCACATCATGTTACTATGCTGTCAATAAAGTTTAGCAAACAAGATCGTACCTTTACTCAGGCTGAAGTTTAGCTACAGAACCCTTTGTTTGAGAAATGATGCTGAAAAGTGGCAAAGAGAACAAACTATTGGATAAAAAAGAAGTGTAGTTGAAAGACCAACAACAGAAAGAAGAATCAAAATATACAATTCATTAATCAATTGTTAATTCTTCTGCTAGGAAGTAATTGGTTACTTGAAAGGCCACCACCAGCATATAAATAAGAATGAAATATTAAAATACAACCCTTTGGCTTCTCAAGTCTTTTTTTAATCAATTATTTGCATCTCTCTTGTCTTTGACAATATGTGACCTGTAAAATACTAATCTAATAGAAGCACAGCCAATTTTTAGACAAGTAAAACTGTTGAAAATGATGAAGATAAAAACAAGTGCTTGCCATTTTATATAAGTTCATTTGAGAATTTCATCAAACACATTGTAGACATTGTCAATTTCCACTACAAAAATTCAATTAGTTGCTTGTTACTTGGATGATTCTGAGATCTGCCAATTAGAAGCAGAGTTGGAAGGAATCTAGCCAATATTTATACAATAAAATGTTGAAAATGACAAGGAAAAAAAAACAATATCTACTTAAATATTCAGAAATAGTTCATTTGAGACTTTCATCAACCAAATTACAGACATTGTTTAGCATTAACAATTTCCACTACAGACATTCTGTTATAGAATGTATATAGAATTCATTCCTAGTTAAGTACATAGCCATATTTAGACAATAGATTTGTAGGAATCGTCTTTTATTTCTTTCCCAAGTTAGCACACAATCTATTGTAATTATACATTGCTTACCCATTGAAATAAGACAACTTCTTCCATCTTGAGATCAAGTCCACGCTCCAACTGGGCCTGACATAAAGGCGGGGTTAGAGTGGGTTGGATTGACAACCTGCTTATAAGGACTTAGACAATCCTCTCTTCATGAGCTAACAAATATTGTGTAAGAAGGAAGAACTTGTTGTTCTCCGGATTTTTCCCTTTTTTGCACCCCACAATGAAATTCCTAGTGTAATTTTCATTTTTTTCTAGAATTGTATTCCGAAATCGTATTTGGACATAGAATTATTACAATTCTCCTCCGAAATTTAACTTGAATATTCCAAAATTCAAAAAAAAATCCAAATACCTGTTTTCACATTTTCCGCTCCAAATCACTCACAAAAATTCAACATTTTCTCAAATTATATTCAATTTTTTTATTACTGTGGTGTTCGGACCAACTTTCACACTTTGATATGCTGATATTTGAACCTGAGACCAAATGGTTCTCATTTCTCAGTCACTTCATGGACCATTAGGTCCACACTGCTGGGTGCCAAGTTATATTCATGTCCAAACATCACTCGGCCATCCATATACCATTTTTCAACATTGTCTTTTTTTTTTCCTTCTAATTTCACATTTTTAATGTTCAAATGCTCACTTATACTCTGCTTGTTTATTTCAAAAAATTCCAACAGATTTGAATTCCATTTGCATAATGTAATTGTAAGGGTCAAGGCATACACTTGATATTTTCTCAAAAGTAAAGACTTGATACACATAATTCTTCAAAAAGAGTCACAACTAATTAACTAACAAGTACATTACAACACCATTTTCATCAGAGGAACAAATTTAACATGCTCATAATATTACCCATCCAAAAACATAATAGTATTTGTTACTACTAATCCCTCGGTCAAGGGAAAAATTGATGGTGTATGAGCTTCAAAAGCCTTCTTCAATAACCTTTATCTCCCATGTTCCGTCGACTACAACCAGCATGCTAAAAATACACAAGGGGCTTGAGCAAGAAATTGCGGAGAAAATGATCAACGTAGAACTGATACTTGCAGTTTTTCCTATACAGAATCCATGGAGCAATTCCTTGTTCTATATGATGTTGATTCTGATGCATCTCCATCAACGGTTCAAACAAAATCAGGCATGTCGAACCTCCATCCTGCCATTGTCCTGTATATGTAGAGTTTCTCAACAGGGAAACTTTCTGGCCTCGTATCCGGATGACCGCTCTCATCTAGCAGCTTACATTGTTAAAATTTGACAAGATTCAAAGATGAATTAATGTGAGGATTTGGTAGTTAAGAAGATAATTCCTCATTGGTACAAAAGTCAAGATAGCACCTTTTGTAGGTGAAATTTAGGTGAACCATAAAATGGTTTCACAAGGTAAATCTTGACATTTTGACAAATTGTGATGTCATGGATGACATCAATAGGAAGAATTCACTCCTATAAATAGGTGGCTCCTAATTCATTTGTAACACACCTCTCACTTGCCTTCTCATCTTCAAAGGCATTTGTTCTTCTTTCTCTTGTAGTATTTCACTTGTACTCTTTTGGAGTGAAATAAATATTGGTTGGTTGTGTCCGAGGAGAAGGCAAAAGAAAACAAAATTTTGCCGAACCTTGTAAATTTCTGGTGTTTCTTTTGTTGTTGTCTCATTTACTATTTATTAGTTACCTTTAGATATAGCAATTGTGATTTCATCACTCTCTATATATTCGGCTTCCGTAACATACATGTGTCATGACTTACTGAACAAGAAGACAGCCAAATATATCGCATCGTCTCCAGCCTTGCAGCATTGACCAACAGTGCCTTTTTGACGAAAGGGGAGTCTCTGGTCTCCACCTTACAAAGGCTTTCAAAACCAGAGAGAATGTCGTGAAGGCCTAGATAACATTCCCCGCAAAAGCTACGAAGAGCATCTCTAGCTTCTTAGCATGAGCCGGGGCTCCGATGTAATGGAAGCGCGATCCGTAAGGAGGCCAGAAAGGGAAAGTCATTGCAAACTTGCAATCCCTTGCAGTGGTGAGTGATGGCCCCAAAACCAGTATCCAGCAGTCCAAGGGTTAGGTAATCAGGAGTTTGAGGCTTGAGTAAACACAAATGAAACCGAATCAAGTTAAACCAGTTCCTTGCAATTGTAACCAAGGGGGCATTTGTCATTTGGCAGCAGAAGTATAGAACCAAGTGGAGCCAGCTTGAGATAGCTCTGTCAAGGATACATTCAGTTCTTGTGCATAAGGAAATACCCTTATTAAGTCCTTACAATAGTTGGCTATCTCCTCAAGACCAATAATCTTGCACCTGTAGTCACATTCAGATGCAAAGATTAAAACTTTTTTCACACAGCAGTACTCATGAAGGTAGATGATTGATAACCATGACAAGTTTTTCTATTTTATTACAAATGCAGTTACTGTATTGAGTCTTGAAACTATCGACACACAAATCTATACAAAAGTTAAGCTGAGATATAGGATAACTTTCATATAGAACAGAAGTTGCAAACCTTTTGTATTCTTTCCCATCATAGCAGAGAGTTCTTGGAATACATATTCACCACAACAGAAAAAAGAATTGTAACCATCTTCTTTACATGTGATCTGCAAATAAAATTAAACTGGTCAAAGTAATTGGAAAAAGAAATACTTCAACTAGCAAATGGATACGTTGATTTGAATTTTGAAAGCTCTATGTCGACGCTTTTGTTGGAAAATTTAGTACTGTTAAACTCTTCAAATATATTTCTCAAATATTTCTACTTAGTATTCACAAACAGACTGTTCAGTTTGGACTTTCATCAAACACATTGTAGACATCTTTTAACAAGAATCAACAACAAAAGAATGGAGACGAACCTGTTCACATATAATGCTACTTAAATTACGGGATATTCTTCCTGCCAACAACTTGAAGCTCGTCTCCTCCCCTCATATCTTCAGCGTATTCCTTAATCTTCATAGTGGAATCTTCAAGTTGAGGGCTCTCTACAAGTTTGATAATTTTGAGTGACCAAATATCCCCAAAACTAGGTGGAATCTCCTCAAGCTTACGACATCCCTCCAGTTTTAATTTCTCAAGCGCGGGAAAGGATTCCTCTCCAACCTCCCACTTAGAAAGAGTCACTTGACGTAACTTCAAACATTTGAGATTCTCAAAGGTGTCTTCCTCCTCCATGTTCCTTTCTTCCCCCTCGATGATTGTATCATAAAGGGACAGCACTTCAAGGTTGGGCAGTCTCGCTATTGTGGATAGTGAATCGGATGCCAGATGAAAGTCACCCAACGACAATTTTTTCAAACTCGAAGGGAAGTGAAAATCCCATGGCCGATTTATGGCTGCAGAGGACCCACTGTCATTTGTGTTTGATCTTTCAAAACCTACATTGAGGCCTTCTAGTTCAGTTAGGAAATCCAATTTCGGGAACCAATATTGCTCTGTTGAATAATCCCATGATTCCTTGAGAACAAATGAAAGATCTTGAATATTGGGAAACCTTTCGAATATATGCTCTGCATCCATATCAAAGAAAGAACAACCAGTCGTGATGAGCACTCGCAACTTTACAAGATCCCAAATTCTCGGTAATAGCATCAATTCTTCGTTAATTACCAACAAGGTTTCTAGATTCCAGAGGTTTGAGAAAGATAAAGGCAGAGATTCAACTTCTGTCCCAATGCATAAGAACCTCAAATGATTCAACATGCATATTTCATGCAGCAAAGAATCTTTCACCTTGATAAAAGAGGGATTCAGGTACAACAATCTAAGAAGCCTCAAGTGTCTTAGGTGAAATGTATCAGAAAGACGGTCATCCAGCTGGTCTCCATATATGGTCAAAGAATAGAGGTGTCTACCAGAATGCCTTTTCTTATTTGAACCGAAGAGGACAAAATTAAGCCCAAAGTGCTCCTCGTCATCATTATCAATGGTAATTTGACGTGACAACAAATCTGATGGAGCACTTGAACTTATCAAATTAAACAACTTTTCTTCTCTGGCTTTTATCAAACAGAAGTCATGCACAAGATCATGAAGTTGGCAAGTTGGGTAACCACCTATCTCATTGAAACAAATTACCAAGCTACTGGAAATTAAATCATCCAAATAAATCTTCACCACTTCTTCCATACTCCTTATTTCCGTCTTTTCCACAAACCCTTCAGCAACCCATACATCTCTTAGCTCATCGATTTTCATTGCACTGTCCTTTGGCCAACTTGCAAAGCATAGCAAGCATGGCTTCAGATGATCAGGTAAGTGGTCATAACTTATTTCTATAACTTTCGTCACTTCATTCTTGAAAATAAAGGAATGCAAATTATTTACAACTTCAAGCCACACACTCTTTTTCTTTTCCCTCACAACAATGACTCCAGCAATCAGATCCACCACCAAAGGAAGCCCTTTACAATTTTCGGCTATTTCTTTTCCAATATCCAATAGTTCATTAGGGCAACTCTCGTTTCCAAATGCCCTTTTCTCTAATAACTCCCAACTTTCTTCTGATCTTAGCAATCGAAGGTTAAGAGGATCAGTGTAGAGCTTTCCATACAAAGCCACTTCCTTTTCTCGGGTTGTCAAAATAATTCTACTTCCTTTCATACCATTAGGAAAATGTCTTGTTAACGCATCCCACGTAGTAGTATCCCACACGTCATCTAAGATAATAAGATACCTTTTTCCAAATAGTTGTTTCCGTAGTTTATCAGCAACATCAATATTCTCAATCAAATTTGAATCTGAGCCATTAACTTGATTGAAAATTTTATCCAACAAATTCTTCTCTTCGTATTCTTGGTCGACTGTGCACCATGCGCGAAGGTCAAAATGACTAGAAATTGATTTATCATTGTATACTTTGTACGCCAAAGTAGTTTTACCTGAACCCGGCATACCAGTGATCGAAATGACATCTAGATCTGTCGGTCCACCAGTGAGCTTTCTAAGTATCCATTTTGTCTCCTCCTCAAAACCTACAATTATTTTACCAGTTGTCCATGACTTTCTCTCAACTGGCTTCTTGGGAGAGCTCAGAACAGTGAGACCTCTATTCTCGGGAATTTTCTCATGTAAATCAGAGACCTCTTCTTTGGTAAGCTTGATCTTCTTTATGGAAATGGGAAGTGAGAAAATAAGATGTAAGAGACCATTATCTCGAACAATAACTGAATCAATGACATCTTTTGCCTCATATGCCACATTTAAACACGTGCCCAGAGATAGTTACATCGTCGGAAAGTTGGTACCTGGGTGACAGTGAGAAGGTGTCTATTGTGTGTCAGTTGGTTGGTCTGTGTCATGATGTGATCCACATGAGTTGGCTTGTCAAGTCTAAGAGAACGAATGTGCACCCGAGCAATGAGGAGGTAGAGAGCCATGTGATTGCTTGAGTTTAGAAATGCTTGCTTCTATACAAGTGTCGTTTAGAGTTGTAGTGCGTCGCTTGAGGACAAACAATGAATTTAAGTTGAGGGTGTTGATATACCGTGAGTTTACGGTATTTCTAATACATTTCACTTACAAGTTGTGTGTGTCTAGGGCCTTTTTGTATTGGTTTTTATGTATTTTTATCATGTTTTCAGGAAAGGTGTTC